TGACCCAGGGTGGTAGGACCTGTTAGGGTCCCAGCTATGGGCAAATAGTGAACTGGGGTCAAAACACTATGAAAGTATAAAAATAGATTTTTATAGTAAAAATACCAGCGATACATTTTTCGAAAAAAAAAATACATATTCTATTCATACAAACCTATCCTTAAAAACTTGTCGACCCATTGAGGTTGATTTGCCCTGAAACAAAATAAACCAAAATAAATAAACCAATGCAAGAGGCCAATGTTAGAGTCCATATAAATAAAAACTGGGAGCTCTTTTGCACGCTAAACATCAGTGCTACATGTTATCAAATTCTTTTTTCTCCTTGTATGAAACGAAGCTTAACTTTTTAAACACTATCTTAACCCTTTGAGACCCGACCACCGCTTTACCGGTGGTAGAGAAAAATGATGTAATGCCCAGCCACCGGTTGAACGGTGGTAGAGAAGAATGACTTAAATATCCAGCCACCGGTTGAACAATGGGTAAGCACTAGTAACAATTTTTATTTCTACCGCGAAACATTACATATCATTATTTGTGAATTTTGACTCAGGAATTCAGGCAGAAAATTTCAAATTGTTCAGGAACGCAGGGCTCAAAAGGTTAAAAATCGCACTCCCTGTGGAATTTTAAGCTGTTTCCTGCGGAGATCTAATTGAACCTCGGCTCAAAACTAAAGGGACCTCTGCTCCAGCTTAGAAAAAAGCAATGGTAATTTTAAATATAACAGGTTACAAGGTTTCGTATTCACACGATTTTCCTCTCGCCTAGCATAAATAGCTGTTGAAGAAAGTTCAGAATTCACGGGGAAAAAATTTCATGGAGTTCGTATATATTCATAGCGCGACGTAGAAGTCGATAAACTTCAAGGCTGTATTGAACCGGGGCCAAAACACTATGAAAGTATAAAAATAGATTTTATATATGGCTATTAAAAAACTTTTCTCTTCCTAGTTAAGGATACTTGAAACATAATACACTATAAAAAAAGTGGAATAATTATTCAGCAACTATTACAACAAATGCAACAAGAAATAATATCAAGAACAGATAAAAGTAATCCCAAAAAGCATTGAACAGACAATCCGTCAATTTCATTTCCGCCAGACTCAGTTGCTAACTTAATTAGTGTATTTAATTACATCGCAAAAAAACCATTATATTCCTATCGGACTTTAGAGGCCATTTTCAGATAAGAATGGCAAGGATGGTCGGATGAAAAGAAAGTACTATTCTGTTATGGATATTGTGTCCCGCTAAACATGAAAAATACCTGAATACTCCAGAAAAAGTTTCATTTAACGAAATGGTGTTGATATTATCAAAAATCTTTGGTAAAAAGAATTCACTGTTTTATAAACCTTGAGGGTGCAGGAACCGAAGTAAAGACGAAAATGAAGATTTTGTTTCATATGCCGGTAAATTCAACTGTGAGTGTGAGAAATTTATCCCCAGACGGATTTAAATGTCAAATCTTCGTAAAGTTTTGACAGCAAGCAACGATGCGAAAATACACCCTCTAATCCGTACAAACCTTTAACAGGATTCGAAGATAACAATACAGACTATTGCCAATTGTCAATTTAAGCCACGATACAGCGAAAATCGAGCAAAATGGCACGTCAAAAGTAGTAGTAGTTCACTAAAAAACAGTAGTACCAAAAGAAAAATCAATAAATATTTTCATAATCATTTTTTCATTTTTAATATAGACCTTGACTCGGACATTACTTTTACAACAACATGTTAATTCAACCGACAATGCCTATCTATTGAATTTTGTATTGTATCTAATGCATTTATTACTAATCACTTGGGAACTCAGAAATCCCTTCTATGTAGAAATAATATTGTTTATGAATCTTGTGTCCTTAAAGAGATCGAATCTTCAATATTAGTACTGAAAATAAAACAATAAATCCTTACATTGGACACTCATGTTGCTTGTCGGTTAATATGTCACCTGTCGAAACTTTATGCAATTCGTAGACATATCAATTATCATATCAAAAACAACCAAAATACAACTGTTAACGTTTAAGAGAAAATATTTGTAGATAATACGAAAATTCTATACAACAGAAAAACATTCACACTTCTAGAAGACGTTATAATACAAAAGAAACAAACAACATTAAATAAAATATTTTTCTCCATCGGAGAAGGTATTTAAAATGGTGTCTTTTATATACAAATAATAATAATAATAACGTACCCATCAGTGGCTACGTAGTGCAGGGTTAAAAGCTGAAACTGAAAGTTTTATTCTTGCTGCATTGGACCAATGCTTGCTAACTGGAAATTACCAAGCATACACACTGAAAAATTGTGTTATTCCAAAATGTAGATTCTGTGATAAATATCGAGAAACAATTGACCATCTTTGTATCGTGTTGCGAGGTATTGGCACCCACTGAATATAAAAATTTCGGCACGAGAGAGTAGGCCAATATCTACACTGGAAAATCTGCAACGCTTATGGAAAGGAAACTGCAAG